AAACCTGCTCTTTTTGTGATTTTTGAGTCTCATCCCCATTTTTCTTTCACTTTAAGTGTGACATCACTCTTCAGGCCGGGATCAACCATGCTGTGTATGTCAGGCAGTGTCCCAGTTTAGTGCTGACTCAGAAGTTGGTACATTTCACAGAATTTTTCAAAGTCCCAATATTACATGTCATTTCAGTCTCCTCTGAACTCCACACACTACGGCTTTTCCAACTGCATGTTTGGCCCTGGTGTTGGACGTAGTTTGAACAGCTCAGACTGAGACAGGGAAAGTATGCCTGAAGCCATGTACTCAAACAACACTTGTCTGTCTACTGCAGAAGCCCCATGTCAGGAAACACACCAGGAGTTTACCTTTCTCTCCTTTGGAGCCTTTGTTGCCTCTTTCTCCCGCTGGTCCAGGAGTTCCAGGTTTCCCATCCTTGCCTGGCTTACCCGTTGGCCCACAGGGTCCTAGGCAAAAGTCAAAGTTGTTCTGAGTTGTCTATACTGGATGGAAGGAAGGATGACCAACCATTTCGGATCACCCGAGACTTTATCTGCTACTGCAATGAGCCAACTAGGATGGTTGGCCACCCAACTCATCAACGCCACTCCCCAGGAGCCCTCCCCATCCAGATGAACCGTGACTACATAGGTCAACCCAAATCCACTGCCGCCAAGTAGACTGACTCATACACCCCCTGATAGGGTCAGGGGAACTGCTCCATAGGGTTCCCACATTGTCAATCTCTATGCAAGCAGACTACCTCATCATTCTCCCTTGAACTAGGCTGGTCGGTTTGAACTACTGGCTTTTTGGTTAGCATCTAAGTACTTCACCACTCAGCATTCCCTGAGTATGTGAATATCAAAGACCAGAACCAAACTCACAACCATTACATTCATTGCTTATGACTCATAGTAATCCTATGGGACAGGGTAGAACCCTCCCTGTGGGTTTCTGAGACTGTAACTCTTTAAGGGAGTAGAAAGCCTCATTGTTCTTCTGAACGACAGCTGGTGGTTTCTAACTATTGACCTTGCAATTTGTAGCTCAACATGTAACTCACTATACCATCAGGGCTCCTATGGATACTTACTGCCATACTAGATGCCGACTCATAGTGACCCTATAAAACAGCGTAGAACTGCCCTGTGAGTTTTCGAGACTGTAACTGTTTACAGGATAAGAAAGCTCTGTCTTTCTCCCACAGAGGGGTTGGTGGTTTCAAACTGCTTACCTGGAAGGTAGCATCCCAAGGTGTAGCCACTACTTTACCAGTAGACATTTTGATTTATGCATTTCTAGAATTCAATCCACCCAAGGTATTGATGAAGGTTATAAGTAATATCCCTCATACTCCCCGCTTGATTCAGGAAAAGGTAGAGCACATCAGTCTCATTAGGAAGTCTACTACAGCATGATGAACGCATAAAGCATGCCTAGTTCCATTTCCAAACACCACTGTTTAGAAGATATTCTATCAAGCACCATTTGCATCTGATATCTGCTGCTCTTCCACATACTTAACAAAGTGTTAGAAAATTATAAATTGGAATAACTCAGGCATATTCATGCAACCCTTTAAAAATAATCAGAGCTCCACGGCTGATGGTTGTTAGGGGAGATGGAAATGATACTTTTAACTTAATAAAAAAAAAGAAGAGTTCAAAACCACCAGTTCCCTTAAGGGAGAAAGATGCCGCTTTTTACTCCCATAAAGATTTACCGTCTCTGAAACTTAGAGGTGCAGTTCTGTGCCGTCCTTTGGGGCTGCTCTGAGTTGGAACAGACCCCACGGCAGTGAGTTTGTGAGACACTGTTTTGATTGACTCAAGTTTATGCCTTGCACAATCATTTTCAAGACTTTCCAAAGTCTTTAATGTGATGGTCAATGGTAATATGAACTCAATTCTATGGCTGATGGTAGGAAAAACGCTACAATGGTTAATGTTTTCTGTGAAGTTATAATGGTGTTCCCAAGACATTTTATAGGGATATTGGTTTAACCATTTCCTAGAGGTTCAACGCAATGCTGCCAGTTTTGCACCTGGGTTTCCTGCGGGCCCTGGTGGTCCGGGGTCTCCTTGCATGCCTGGTCCTCCTGGTGGGCCTGGAGGCCCTGGGCTTCCTGGAAGGGAGATGACCTTAAGCGTGCCGGGATCTCCACGTGCACCTATGGACACGAAAAGACGAGGATGGCTTCATTGAGAAGCTAGCAGCTCTTCACGGAGAATGAACAGCTCACCACCCCCACTCATTGTTGCTGAGTCTACTGAGACTCGTAGAGATCCATGACAGTAATGAGTAATATTTACCGGGTGGTCCTGGGGGCCCAGTTGGTCCTGGAGGCCCAATTGATCCCAGAAATCCTGGATTGCCCTTCTCTCCTTCAAAAGAAAGAAAGAAAGGAAAAAAGGCAATGTGAATCTGCTTAGAAAATGAGGTTTCCTAGCTGTTCCTGTTGACAACAATCTCAAAGGATAGGTCCTGGAAGTTACAGCTAGACGGGGTGTTGTGAAAATGGTTTCAACTCTTACAGGCATTAAGAAGTTGTATTTTAGTTTTGAAAGGTTTGTTATTTTTTAGCTCAACAATTAGATGCAATAATGAAGGTACAATAAGAAGCCACGGTCAAACTTATTTTTTACAACCTCCTGGTGAATGATGTTGCCTGGTGATCATAGTTTTCAACTTTCCAGTACATTACTCTAGCTTTTCAAATAGCCCACAGTCAGCATCTCTTTTCTTAGTGTTCATGAGATTCAACAAAAATTAGTTGCTTTGATGTAAACCACATGTATTCAATCTGTAGGCTGAGAAGCTGGACTATTTGAAGAAGAATGAGGCATCAGGATTGGTGGACGGCTTGTTAACAACCCGCAGTAATGCAGGTGATACAGCCTTGCTTACTGAAAGCATTTGCTGCTGAAAATCAAAGACTGCAGCCTTGAGTCTGAATTGCATGCCCCAGTGTAAAGAAAACCCAAATCCTCAAAACGAGAGCAAATAGACTTTGTTGATGTTGGGTGCCCTCAAGTCGGTTCTGACTCAGCTTGCCCATGAACAACAGAACCGACCACCTCCTAGACCTGCACCCTCCTCAGAATTATTGTTATGCTTGAGCACACTGTTGCAGCTACTGTGTCGATCCATCTTGTCGAGGTTCCTCCTCCTCTTTTGCTTCCCCTGAACTTTACCAAGCATGATGTCCTTTCCCAAGGACTGGTATCTCCTAATAATATGTCCAAAGGGTATGAGACAGTGTCTTGCCATCCTTGCTTCTAAGGAGCAATCTGACTGTACTGCTTTCCAGATAGATCTGTTTGTCCTTTTAGCAGCCCTCCCTGACACTCTCAATATTCGTCACCAGCACCACAGTACGAATGCGTCATTCTTCATCAGTCTTCCTTCTTCAATGTCCCACTTTCACATGCATGTGAGGCGATGGACTATGCCATGGCTTGGATCTGGTGTACCTAAGTCCTCAGAGTAACATCTTTGCTTGTCAACACTTTAAAGAGGTCTTGTGCAGTAGATTTACTCAATGCAATATTGTCATTTGACCTCTTGACTCCTGCTTTCCAGAGCATTGATTGTGGATCCAACCAAGATGAATTCCTTGACTTTTCTCCATTTATCATGATGTTAACTATTGGTATAGTTGTGAAGATTTTTTTTTTACAGTAATTGTAATTCATATTTAAGCCTGGAATCCTTGATCTTCATCAATAAATACTTCAAGTCCTCAACACTTTCAGCAAGCAAGGTTGTGTCATCTGCATATTGCAGGCTGTTAATAATCCTTCCTCCAATTCTGATGCCACATTATTTTTCATATAGTCCAGCTTCTCTAAAGCTCAGTATACAGATTGAATATATCTGCTGCAAAGCTACAACCCTGACCCACACTTTTTCTGACTTAAAACTATTCTGTATTCCTGTTCTGTTCATACAGCTTCCTCTTGATCCATATACAGTTTTTGCATAAGCACAATTATGTGTTTTGGAATTCCCATTTTTCTCAAGCCTGTCCATAGTTTGTTATGGTCCACACAGTCTAATGCCTTTGCAAAGTCAATAAAACACAAGTTAATATTTTTCTGTCATTCTCTGCTTTGAGCCAAGATCCATCTGACACAGGCAATGACATCTCTTATTCCACATCCCCTTCTGAATCCTGCCTGATTTTTTGGTAACTCCCTGTCAATGTAGTGCTGCAACCTGAAAATTGTAGAATGATCTTCAGAAAAATTTTCCTTGCATGTGATAGCAATGATTTAGTTCTATAATTCTGTTGGGTCTTCTTTCTTTGGAATGGGGAAAAATATGGACCTTTTCCAGTCCATTGGCCAAGTAGCTGCCTTTCCCAGCACAGAGGAGTGATTGCTTCAGTGCTCCATCAGCTTGTTGGACCGTTTCAGTTGGTTTTCCATCAATTCCTGGAGCCTTGCTTTTGGCTGATGCTTTCAGCGCAGCTTGGACTTCAGCACCATTGGTTCTTGCTTACACGCTAACTCTTGAAATGGTTGCATGTCAACTCAATCTTTTTAGTAATGTCGGTGTGTTCTTCCCATCTTCTTTTGATGTTTCCTGTATCTTTCAATATTTTGCCCCCAGAGTTATTCAATATTGCAACTTGAGGCTTGCATTTTTTCCTTGAGCTCCTTTAGTTTAAGACATGCCAGCCTTGTTCTTCCTTTTTGGTTTTCTAACGCTAGGTCTTTGCACAGCTCATTATAATACTTTGTGTTCTCAGGCTGTCCTTCGAAGTTTCTCTTCAGCTCTTTTCACCATTTCTTACATTTGTCTTAGCTACTCTAAGAGGGCAAGCTTCAGAGTCTCTTCGGATGTCCACTTTGATCTTTTCTGTCCTTGAAGTGACCTTTTGCTTTCTTCATGTATGCTCTTCTTGATGTCATCCCATAGCTCATGACAGAAGACGACATTAGACAGAAGACTACACATGATAAATGGAGAAAAAAATTTAAATTTTGGAGGATTTAGTTTTTCTTGGACCCACAATCAATGCTCATGGAAGCAGTAGTCAAGAAATCAAAGGATGTATTGCATTTGGCAAATCTACTCCACAAGATTTCTTTAAAATATTGAAGAGTAAGGAAAGTTACTTTGAGAAATCAGGTCTGTCTGATCCATTTTGAGAACTCAGGTCTGTCTGATCCATGTCATGGTATTTTCAATTGCTTGATAAGCTTATGAAAGTTGGACAGTGAATAGGAAGACAGGAGTATAATTGATGCACTTGGATTATGGGTAGACAAAGATATTGAAAGTATTATAGACCTCCAGAAGAAAAACGAAATCTGTCTTGGAAGATGTAGAGCCAGAATGCTCCCACCTTGTATAATATATTTGTTCCAGAACAGTACTCATGCCTAGTTATGATGGGGCTTTAAAAAGTTCTGCAAAAATGGAATGAAAAGATAAGAGATCCTTCCCATGAATTCATTGAAGGGATTTTCCCCATGAATTCTTTGAAGTCACCTTGTTACTGTACCAAACTTTACTCACTCTTCCCCATCAATAGTGTGGTGAACTGGAGTCCCCCCCCAGCCTCCTTCTTTTAAAAAAACAATTACAGTGACACATGCACACAGAATACGCTAAGAATGGGATTTGAACCACAGCAGTTGTATTTGTCCCAGCAAGAAACAAACATAGACAATACCTTGCATGCCGGGAAATCCGCGGAGGCCGGGATCCCCTCTGAGTCCTGGGAGACCGGGCTTTCCTGGTGGGCCCTGTGTTTCCAGTAGAAGGAAGCAAAACCCCAGGACAAGTTCAGACATTTACAATATTCATGATGTTTCCTTGAAAGCAAGTAGGACAGACTACTTGCTGACTCATTAAGAATGAGCTAAGGTTGAGAGCCCTTATTAATACCTTTCATTCTAGTGTTTTCCCTGGCTACAACCTCACTTCCGCCAAAACGCATCCATAGGACTGTATAGTCATCACGAGTTGGAGTTCACTCAATGGCTGGCTGGGCTATCTATCTATCTATCTATCTATCTATCTATCTATCTATCTATCATCTATCTCTCATCTATTCCATATAAAGTGAAAGAAAATGTAATTACTTGACAACTAAATGTCAAAAAGATACCACGAATATTAGAAGTGAGCCTTTGAGCAGTCTGTGGAATAAGAAGACCAAAGAAGAAAGATTTTCATTGCTTGTAGTTGGTGGAGTGAGATTTAAAAAGGAGAGAGAGAAGATCAAGCTCTCTCATCAAGGACTCTGGGAAATTTGTGGTCTAGTCTGGTCTCCGGAGACAGAAGTGTCCAAGGAGGAAGGTCTACTGCCAAGGCTGAGTCCTTGGGTCACCATGTGTTCCCCTGCAAAGAGGAGGCTGTGAAGGGCACCGGGCTAGGTTAGATATCAACTAAGAAGAGTTGTTTTTTCCAACACAGAAGCTACAACTATGAGAGTACTGGAGGATTTAAGTGAGTTCAAGTGTGAAGACCAGCCCTGCGCCAAAGAATCACGGAGAACATGAGAGAGACCTATGGACTAGAGCTGAGCAGATATCATATTTTTCAAAACAACAACAACAACATGGGATAAATTCTGAGAAGCAAATACTGGAGAACTGGACAGGAAGACAGATCAATGAGCAGGATCTCTGATTCTCTGAACCACTGGGGCTTTGCTTTCCCTTCGGAAGTGCACAGAAGTCCCGTGGATGGTCACATTGTGTCACTGTGGCAGTTACATAATCTCCTGCCAACTTGAATGAAGGAGTGGAGTCTAGCTTGTCAATCAGGTCATAGCCAGTGGTGTCTCTACGTGGGCATGACCTTCTCCTGAGGATTTTGGGAACTCCTGTCTTCCTCCCTGGAGGTGGGACATGTACTCTCTGCTTGATATTCCTGTTGACAAGCCACATGGAGCCATGCTGATGATAGCCAGAGTCATGGAGATAGATAAGACATGTGGGGACCTGCACCAGTGATGAGAGGCTTCCACCCCACTGGATCCACAAGACCTTCTCCTCACTGGCCTGTGATCTTCCTGCATTTGCTATCATTGCAGGAAGAGGAATTTATGGACTAGTATCAGACATATGGGCTAATATTGGACTTAATCTGGATCGGGTTGGGATGTTTCTCAATATACAATTACTATTTGATATAAAGCTTTCTCTTACATATGTATCAGTGTTGCTGAATTTGTTTCTCTAGTCTACCTGGACTAACATAGTCACCTATAGGCAAGTCTAATCCTGACAAAAGTTGAAGAAGTCAAAATCATTTTCTGCACTTACCGGATGGCCTGGTGGTCCTGGATCTCCTACGGCTCCAGGTGGACCTTTGGGGCCAGGCCTGCCCATAAAGCCTTTGTCTCCTTTAATGCCTTTTGTTAGATTTCCTGGAGGTCCAGGTGGACCAGGTTCACCTGCATTCACAGAGCCCATCAGTATTGCCAGTGAGGGGCAACAACAGCAAGTCCCATTGATGCTTATGAATCCTGCCCCTTAAACATAGTTTCCCTGGCTTGGTGTGTTGAGACTGCAGCGACAATAAAGGAAAGAATGCCAGTGAAGCACCTGCCTCAAGGTAGAAAGTACTTGGGAAGTCTCTATCTGCAGAATCTGTGCCTGCATCTGCAATGACTGGCCCAGTACCTGCCATTCAGCTCAATAAATATTGGCTGAATGGGTGCATTTCCTTTAGGCTTATTCATTACCTACTACGTTTCAAAGAAGGTTTTATTGGGATGTGGGTGAAAGTGTACAGAACAAATCAGTTTTCCATTCCATAATTCATACACATTTGTTTCATGTCATTGGTTGCAATCCCCACAATGTGACATCACTCTCCCCACTTCCTCCCAGTGTTTCACATTTCCTGTCTTCCTTCTATCCTAGCCCTTCTGAAATAACTCATTGGGTAATGGCTGACCTTTTGATCTCAGATGGTTGTTCTAAGGTGGTGTATCTCCCTAGTGTCATGGTTCTCTTTATAGACCTATTGCTTTTGCGCTGCTGAAAATGGAATCACAGAGGTGAGTTAGGTACCAGAACTGAAGGGGCACAGTCTCAAAGTTTCCACCAGTCTCTAATCAGTAAACTTGGTCTTTTTTATGACTTTGAATTTTGTTCTACAATTTTCTCCTCTCAATCCTGAACCTTTCAATAGGATCTCATTCAGAGCCATTATGGGTAGTGGTAGCTGGGCATCATCTAGTTTTTCTGATCTCAGGGTCATGGGGGTTGATGTTTGAGTGACCCATTAGGTCACTGGACTAATTGCTTTCACGTGTCTTTGATTTTCTTCACTCCTCATTGCTCCAGATAGGGAGAATTCAATAGTTGTACCTTAGACCCTGGTTGCTACTCATCAAAGTTGGATGTAGAATGCAGTCTTTGTGGACTGTGCTGTACCAATTCACCTTGGTGTCCCCTAAGACTCTGATCCTCAGTCTCCAGGCCCAGCAACTCACTCTATCAAGATGTTTGGTCATGGCTAAGACGTTTTCATGGTTTCTACTAATCTTGTCAAACCTCTGCCTCAACAATGCCAATGACCCAACAGCATCTGTGTATGTGAGAGAAGGTGAGTACGGACAGACTAGCGATCAGAAGGAAAAAGGAGCAACGAGGTTACATGAAGACAAAGTGGAACACTTTTCATGTCAAACATTTTCACTCTTTCATCATATTCAAAACCCCACCCTGTACCTGGGTTTCCTCTTGAGCCTGGGGGACCTTGAGTTCCTTTTTGGCCAGGGATAAATGCACCAGGGACACCTGGTGGTCCTGGGAGGCCTTTTATCCCAGTGGGTCCTCTTGGTCCAACATCTCCCACTGTCCCTTTCCTGCCTGGCAGGCCAGGCAAGCCAGGGGCTCCCCTGTCTCCTTTGGCTCCTGGAAAATGAGAAGACTTGATAATTTCCCATAATATCCCTCTACTTGTGGCTACCTTTAATGACATAGCTACTTTGCTTCAAAGGGTTGAGATTCACATATCTTATTTTTTAAAAAGAGGCTGATGAATGAAATATTGGTTGGAATACTTAGCTATTTGACTGGAAGCCCTGGTGGCACAATGGTTATGAGCTGGGCTGCTAACTGCAATGTCAGCAGTTTTAAACCACCACCTACCCCTTGGGAGAAGATGGAGCTTTCTACCCCTACAAAGAGCTATGGTCGTGGAAACTCACAGGGGCGTCCTACCCTGTCCT